TCATTTGAGTCTGAGTCGACCTAGGGGAGGCCCAGCACCGGTTCAGATAATCGTCACCGTTATTGGCCATGAGCGGGAATCGAACCCGTGTCGCCAGGGTCGTCAGGGTCGTGTGCAGCGCGCTAACCGCTACACTACCGCTCCTTCACACACAGACACACAAACACACACTCACAGACACACACACAAAGACACACTCACAGACACTCACAGACACACACACTCACAGACACTCACAGACACACACAGACACACACACACTCACAGACACACAAACACACACTCACAGACACACACACAGACACACACACTCACACACACTCACAGACACTCACAGACACACACAGACACACACAGACACACACACACTCACAGACACACAAACACACACTCACAGACACACACACAGACACACACACTCACAGACACTCACAGACACACACACACTCACAGACACTCACAGACACTCACAGACACACACAGACACAGACACACACACAAAGACACACTCACAGACACACACACAAAGACACACACACAAAGACACACTCACAGACACACACACAAAGACACACTAACAGACACACACAAACACACACTCACAGACACACACACAGACACACTCACACTCACAGACACACACATACACACACTCACACACACAGACACACACACAGACACTCACAGACACACACAGACACACACTCACACACACAAACACACACACACAGACACACAGACACACACATACACACACACACAGACACTCACAGACACACACACTCACACACAGACACACACACTCACACACACTCACACACACACACATACATGCATGACGAGGCAGGGTCTGTATTCAATAGGACCCCCCCCCCTCAGCCGATATCGCCACTCTAAGGGATTTTATTTCGTCTGATTTGTAAGCGATCTCCTGAACACAGGGAGGCTCATTCATCCACCCATTCATGCATTCACACACACACACAACGACACAGATCCCCCCGTATAGCCTTCAACAGACTGTTGGGCCAAGTGCCGTTGAGCGAGCAGCACCTGAGAAGGCCGGCAACCCCCCGCGCGGCGACTTCTACACATCGCACCGAGTGCTCATTTGAGGCTGAGTCGACCTAGGGGATGCCCAGGAACCGGCTCAGGAATTCGACACCGGCGTTGGCCGTGAACGGGAATCGAACCGCGCGTCGTAGATTCGGTAGCCACAGGCACAGCGCAAAAACGCACAAAGACAAAGATCACCCGTGTAGCCTGTAGCAGACTGTTGGGGGCAAGTGCCGTTGAGCGAGTAGCAGCGCCTGTGAAGGCCGGCACGGTGGCACACGAGAGGGGGTTTGGTGGCCAAGCAACAACGCCCGACCGCCTTTGTCTCCCCCCCCCCCCCAGTGACGTAGCTTACTACAAACCGCACCAGCAGCGTCCTTCACGAGCCTCCTCCTCCTGCACAGAGGCCGATCTTGCCACCTCCGCTAGCAGTCATCTGCAAGTCGACTCAGCTCCACATCCTCCTCTGTCGCATCGGCTCCACCTACTCAAGCCTGCACGACACACACGCTGACACCATAACACAAAGATCCCCCGTGTAGCCTCGACACATCGGTGGGGCAAGCGCTGTTTTCGTGAACAGCACCTATGAGGGCCGACGCCGCAAACGAGTAGGGGGGTGGGTGGCGAGCGACCACGCCCGGCCGCCTTTGTCTCCCCCGGTGGCGATGTTTAACACATCGAACCAGGTACTGGTTTGAGGCTGAGTCGACCTAGGTGGAGGCCCAACGACCGGTTCAGACACACGTGCGTGCGTATAATCATACACGCTAAATTGAACTTTTCCCTCCGGCACATCAAAGCCTCAAGCATACACATTGCAGCAATTTCAAAACTAGGTCATCATCATTTGGGTTGCCCAGGGCATGCGGTGTGTGTATCAGATGTGTGTGTGTGTGTGTTGACGTGTGTGTGTGTGATGATCTGTATGTGTGGGGGAGCGGTGGTGGTAGTGGTTAGCGCTACGCTGCGCTACGAACCCGGCGACCCGGGTTCGATTCCCGCTCACGGCCACCAACAACACCCAGTGACGATTCTCTGAACCGGACCCCCACCCCCCCTCCCACCCCTAGGTCGACTCAGCCTCAAACGAGTACCGAGTGCGATGTGTTAAAACATCGCCACTGGGGGAGACAAAGGCGGCCGGGTGCGGTGCTGACCACCCACCACCTCGCGTGCCGTTCCGGCCTTCATAGATGCCGCTGCTCGTTAACGGCACTTGTCCCAGCAGTCTGTCGAGGCTACACGGGGGATCTTTGTCTTTGGGGTCTCAACTAGTTTCTGTGGGGGGGGGGAGGGGGGCATTCACCAGCCAATCAGATCTTTCCCATAGCACCCCCCCCCCCCCCAAATCCCCAGCCCCCCTCTCCCCCACTGCCCCTCCCCCCACCGCCCACTCGGTTCCTATTCACTTTGTGTCAGCATCGCCCGATTCAAGAGCAGCAGCAGGAGTCACTCACCAATCACGGGGGGGGGGGGGGGGGGGGGGGGGAGGGCGGCACTCCACGGTGCTATGCCGGGGACGCGTCCCGTACTCCTCGGGACAGTACAGAGCGTGGAAGCGATTCACGATCGTGGCTGGCGTTGTCGACGCTTTCCGTCTTTGTCTCTCCTCTACTCCTCCATACCCCCTCCTCCTCTCCCTCCCCCTCTCTCCCTCCCCCTCTCTCCCTCCCCCTCTCTCCCTCCCCCTCTCCCCCTCCCCCTCTCTTCCTCCCCTCTCTCCCTCCCCTCTCTCCCTCCCCTCTCTCCCTCCCTCTCTCCCTCCCCCTCTCTCCCTCCCCTCTCTCCCTTTCCCTCCCCCTTTCCCTCCCCTCTCTCCCTCCCTCTCTCCCTCCCCCTTTCCCTCCCCTCTCTCCCTCCCCCTCTCTCCCTCCCCTCTCCCTCCCCCTCTCCCCCCCCTCTCCCCGTCTCTCCTCCCTCCCCTCTCTCCCTCCTCCTCTCCCTCCCCTTCTCGCTCTCCCTCCCTCTCCTCCCCCTCTCTCCGTCTCCCTCCCCTCTCCCTCCCCTCTCCCCGTCTCTCCTCCCTCCCCTCTCCCTCCCCTCTCCCCCATCTCCCTCTCGCTGCCTCTCGTCCGCTCTCCGTGGAGATGCTGAGACGCAGTTGTTCAGTGAAGGAGCCTCGAAGCGAAGAGAGCGAGGCAGAGCGTGTGTGAGAGAGAGAGGAGTGTGTAAATCAGGAAACGTGGAGAGTGGGGAGAGCGATACCAGAGAGAGATAGAGGAGACGCAAGATACATCAGGAGAGAGATATCAACATAGAGATATCTGCACACACAGAGAGAGAGCGTGAGAGAGAGAGAGGAGTGTGTAAATCAGGAGACGTGGAGAGTGGGGAGAGCGATACGAGAGAGATAGAGGAGACGCAAGATACATCAGGAGAGATATCAACATAGAGATATCTGCACACACAGAGAGAGAGCGTGAGAGGAGTGTGTAAATCAGGAGACGTGGAGAGTGGGGAGAGCGATACGAGAGAGAGAGAGGAGACGCAAGATACATCAGGAGAGAGATATCAACATAGAGATATCTGCACACACAGAGAGAGAGCGTGAGAGAGAGAGGAGTGTGTAAATCAGGAGACGTGGAGAGTGGGGAGAGCGATACGAGAGAGATAGAGGAGACGCAAGATACATCAGGAGAGAGATATCAACATAGAGATATCTGCACACACACACAGAGAGAGAGAGAGGAGTGTGTAAATCAGGAGACGTGGAGAGTGGGGAGAGCGATACCAGAGAGAGATAGAGGAGACGCAAGATATATCAGGAGAGAGATATCAACATAGAGATATCTGCACACAGAGAGAGAGCGTGAGAGAGAGGAGTGTGTAAATCAGGAGACGTGGAGAGTGGGGAGAGCGATACCAGAGAGAGATATATAGAGAAGACGTAAGATACATCAGGAGAGAGATATCAACATAGAGATATCTGCACACACAGAGAGCGAGGCAGAGCGTGTGAGAGAGAGAGAGGAGTGTGTAAATCAGGAGACGTGGAGAGTGGGGAGAGCGATACGAGAGAGATAGAGAAGACGCAAGATACATCAGGAGAGATATCAACATAGAGATATCCGCACACACACAGAGAGAGAGAGCGTGAGAGAGAGAGGAGTGTGTAAATCAGGAGACGTGGAGAGTGGGGAGAGCGATACGAGAGAGATAGAGGAGACGCAAGATACATCAGGAGAGAGATATCAACATAGAGATATCTGCACACAGAGAGAGAGAGCGTGAGAGAGAGAAAGAGGAGTGTGTAAATCAGGAGACGTGGAGAGAGAGAGAGGAGGGGGGGAGAGCGATACGAGAGAGAGAGAGGGAGCTCAGCAAGAGATAGAGGGAGAGAGAGAGATTGACTCAAAGATTTATCTCAATCTCCAAGGAAGGACTGTATACACGCAAGTGACACGGAGAGCAGAAAAACATTTCAATTCCATCCCCCCCCCCCGCCCACACAAAATACACACGGGGAGAGGAAGAGAGAGATAGAGAGAGATATAGAGAGATAGTGAGAGATAGTGAGAGAGTTAGGGAGAGATAGAGAGAGAAAGAGAGTGAGGTAGGGAGAGAAAGATAGAGAGAGATATAGAGAGATAGTGAGAGATAGTGAGAGAGTTAGGGAGAGATAGAGAGAGAAAGATAGAGAGATAGAGAGAGAAAGATAGAGAGATAGGGAGAGATAGAGAGAGAGGAGAGAGATAAAGAGAGCGAGATAGAGAGAGAAAGATAGAGAGATAGGGAGAGAGAGAGGAGAGAGATAAAGAGAGCGAGATAGAGAGAGATAGGGAGAGAGATAGGTAGAGATAGAGAGAGAGGAGAGAGATAAAGAGAGCGAGATAGAGAGAGAAAGATAGAGAGAGATAGGGAGAGAGAGGAGAGAGATAAAGAGAGCGAGATAGAGAGAGAAAGATAGAGAGAGAAAGATAGAGAGAGATAGGGAGAGAGAGAGAGGAGAGAGATAAAGAGAGCGAGATAGAGAGAGAAAGAGATAGCGAGAGAGAGGAGAGATGACGAGGAGCCACGCGGCACACCACATCCAGGAGATCCCCCGGACCACGTCTCCGTCGGCAGGCGAGAGATCGCGCGCGAGAGATGCAACTGTGCCCGCGTAGTGCGCGAGAGGGAGAGGAAAGGGGAGAGATAAACGGGAGAGAGAGAGAGGGAGAGAGTGGGAGGGAGGGAGAGAGGGGAGAGAGAGGGGGGGGAGAGAGAGACACAGAGGGGGAGGGAGAGCGTTCTTGAACAGACCTCTCCGCACCCACGGTGCCCTTCAGAATCTCTGCGCCCTCGAGTCGACCGCGAGACGGACTCCTGCCCGACTACGGAGCGACTGACGGTCCTACGGACTGGCCGACTGGCTGGCTGTCTGACTGACTGACCGTCTGACTAACCGTATGATTGCCCGACTGACTGACTGATTGTCCGACTGACTGACTGTCTGACTGACTGACCGTCTGACTAACCGTATGATTGCCCGACTGACTGACTGATTGTCCGACTGACTGTCTGACTGACTGACCATCTGATTGCCCGACTGGCTGACTGATTGTCCGACTGACTGACTGTCTGACTGACTGACCATCTGACTAACCGTATGTTTGCCCGACTGACTGATTGCCCGACTGACTGACTGACCGTCTGACTAACCGTCTGATTGCCCGACTGGCTGACTGATTGTCCGACTGACTGGCTGACCGTCTGACTAACCGTCTGATTGCCCGACTGACTGGCTGACCGTCTGACTAACCGTCTGATTGCCCGACTGGCTGACTGATTGCCCGACTGACTGGCTGACCGTCTGACTAACCGTCTGATTGCCCGACTGGCTGACTGATTGCCCGACTGGCTGACTGACTGTCTGACTGACGGTCTGACTGTCTAACTGCCTGACTGACCATCTGATTAGCCGTCTGACTGATTGTCCGACTGTCCGACTGTCTAACTGACTGCCTGACCATTTGACTGACTGTAAATATGCCTATCTGACCGGCTACCTACCAGTCCACCAGCCAGTCTGCCTACCTACCAACATGCCCTCTCTGCCCATGTGACTAGCCCACGTACTCGCCCTGCCTGCTCTACTGCCTACGAGTCTGACCGAGAGTACCTGACTGAGTAACCCGACTATCTGATTGAGAATTCGCACGAATGCCTGGCTCAGTGTACGATTAAGTACCAGACCGCGTACATGACACTGCAACTGAGTGCCTGGCTGAGTAACTGAGTACCCGAACATCTGACTTAGTACCATTCTGGGAACGTGACTATCTTACTGATCGCCCGCCTGGGTGCCCGACTGAGGAGGACGTGGCCGAGTAGCCTGGCCGGGAAGCTCTGCTCGCCCAGGATATCCAACCACGTCAGGATGGTACGCGCAGTTTGCACGACTCTGAAAACGCGATTCGCAGGTGAGCTGCGCAGATTTCGAATCACACGCGCGCGCGTGTGCACACACACATACGTGTGTGTGTACGTGCACGTGCGTGCGTGTGTGTGCACGCGCGCGTGTGTGTGTACACTTGCGTGTGTGTGTGCACGCACGTTTGTGTGTACACGCGCGTGCGTGTGTGTGTGCACGCACGTGTGTGTGCACGTGCGTGTGTGTGTGTGTGTACGCGCGTGTGTGTGTGCACGTGTGTGTGCGCACTTGCGTGTGTGTGTGCACGTGCGTGTGTGTTCACGTGCGTGTGTTCACGCGCGTCTGTATGTATGTGTGTGTGTGTGCACACACACGCACGCGCGTGTACACACACGCACGCGCGTGTACACACACGCACGCGCGTGTACACACACGCACGTGCGTGCACACACACGCACGCGCGTGTACACTCAAACGTGCGTGCACGCACACACACGCAAGTGTACACACGCACGCGCGTGCACACACACGCACGCGCGTGTACACACACACGTGCGTGCACACACACGCAAGTGTACACACGCACGCGCGTGCACACACACGCACGCGCGTGTACACACACACGTGCGTGCACACACACGCAAGTGTACACACACACGCGCGCGTGCACACACACGCACGCACGTGCACACACACACGCACGCGCGTGTACACACACACACACACGCACGCGCGTGTACACACACACACGTGCGTGCACACACACGCAAGGGCACACACACACGCGTACACATACACACACACACGCAAGTGTACATACACCTACGCAAGTGCGCACACACACACGCGCGTACACACACACACACGTGCACACACACACACACACGTGCACACACAGCAGGTCCCCGTGTGTACGAGACACGTGCACAGACAAAGGTGCCCCCCTCCACCCCCACCGTGGAGCTTTAGCAGATTGTGTTGGGGCGGTGGGTGGGGGGTAGGGGGTGGGGGGTGGGTGGGTGGGTGGGGGGGTGTGTGACCAGCAACAGGCCACGGCCGCCTTTGTCTCCCCAACGCTACCTGCGCACCGCGCCGGCCACGCCGTCGTGGTCCGCACGCGGCGCTTGCTCGGCCAGCTCGTAGCGCCTGGAGCCTCGAGCCAGCCCCGTCCGTGGTGGTAATTCCACATTCCCGTGCCTGGAGGGAGTCCATCCTATCGGTGAAACCCCAGCCCCCCCCCCCTCCCCCCACCACTCCACCCCGCAAAGTGGTACCGTCATTTTATCGACCTCGGAAGTCGGCCGGCCGGTTCGATGATTGCGGGGTTTGATGATCGGTCGTCGTCGGTGGAGGTTGCTCGTGACACGTACGGAGATACCGGGGGAGATAAAGGCGGCCGAGGAAGGGCTTTGCCGTAGTAGGTGCTCGCTCACGGCACTTTGCCAACCAACAGTCGGGCTACCAGGGGGACCTTTGCCTTCGCGCTGCGCACGGGGGAGCGGTGGCGCCGCGGTTAGCGACGCTGCGCTCCGCTACGGAACGCCCCGGGAAACGGATCCGAGTTCGATTCCAACGTCGCCGCTGACGAATCATCCGGAACCGGTCGTGGGCCTCCCCTAGGTCGACTCAGCCTCAAAATGAGTTCCCCATTTGTGGGGGGGGGGGGGGGAGTGGAGGAGGAGAAGACAAAGGCGGCCGGGCATGGTGGCTGGCCACCCCACCACCTCGTGTGCGCCGTGCCGGCCTTCATAGCCGCCGCTAGTCGTTAGCAGCTCTTGCCCCGGCAGTCTGCTGAGGCTACACGGGGGACCTTTGCCTTCGCGCTGCGTAGGGGGGGAGCGGTGGCGCTGCGGTTAGCGCCACGCTGCGCTACGGAATCCCCGGACAACGGACCCGAGTTCGATCCGAACGGGCCATAGGCGGCTTCCCCCTGGGTCGACTCAGCCTTAACATCTCGGGGGAGGGGGGGGGGTGGAGATACAAAGGCGGCCGGGACGTGGTGCCAATCTCGCACCCCATCGTGTGTATCGCTCCGGCCTTAATAGGTGCTCGCTAACAGCACTTACCCCCCTGTGCGTATGTAACGTGGTACTTAATACTAAGGCTGCTGACTTAAAAGGAAAAAAAATAATTTGACGTTTCGGGCAATGCCCCTGCTCCATGGCACATTGTGTGTGTACGCGAGACAGATTCACTCTCTACACCATCGCCCTATAGAATGTGTGCATCGCTATCTCTGTGTGTCTCTGAATATCTCTGTGTCTCTGTATATCTCTGTGTGTCTCTGTGTATCTTTGTGTCTCTGTATATCTCTGTGTGTCTCTGTATATTTCTGTGTGTCTCTATGTGTCTCTGTGTGTCTCTGTATATCTCTGTGTGTCTCTGTATATCTGAGTCTCTGTTTATCTCTGTGTGTCTCTGTATATCTCTGTGTGTCTCTATGTGTCTCTGTGTGTCTCTGTATATCTTTGTGTGTCTCTGTATATCTGTGTGTCTTCTTTATATATCTGTGTGTCTCTGTATATCTCTGTGTGTCTCTGTATATCTCTGTGTGTCTCTGTATATCTCTGTGTGTCTCTGTATATCTCCGTGTGTCTCTGTATATATCTGTGTGTCTCTATGTGTCTCTGTGTGTCTCTATGTGTCTCTGTATGTCTGTATATCTCTGTGTGTCTCTGTATATCTCTGTGTGTCTCTGTATATCTCTGTGTGTCTCTGTATATCTCTGTGTGCCTCTATGTGTCTCTGTGTCTCTATATATCTGTGTGTCTCTGTATATCTCTGTGTGTCTCTATATATCCCTGTGTGTCTCTATATATCTCTGTGTGTCTCTATATATCTCTGTATGTCTCTATGTGTCTCTATATATCTGTGTGTCGCTGTGTATCTCTGTGTCTCTGTATATCTGTGTGCCTCTGTATATCTCTGTGTGTCTCTTTATATCTCTGTGTGTCTCTATATATCTCTGTGTGTCTCTGTATATCTCTGTGTGTCTATATATCCCTGTCTCTATATATCTCTGTGTGTCTCTGTATATCTCTGTGTGTCTCTATATATCTCTGTGTGTCTCTGTATGTCTCTGTATGTCTCTGTGTGTCTCTATGTGTCTCTATGTGTCTCTGTGTGTCTCTGTATATCTCTGTGTCTCTATATATCTCTGTGTCTCTGTATATCTCTCTGTGTCTCTATGTGTCTCTATGTGTCTCTGCGTGTCTCTATGCGTCTCTATGTGTCTCTCTATATCTCTATATATCTCTGTAGCTATGTGTATAATCTCTTACTCCCTCTGCATATCTCTCTCTCTCTCCCTGTATGGGGAGTGGTGGTGCTGCATATCGAGCCCGAGTTCGATTCCCGCTCACGGTCAACGCCAGTGACAATCATGTGAACCGGTCTTGCCCCGACAGTGTGCAACACAGGCAGACTTCTCCTGTGTCTTTGTACTGGGGAGACAAAGACGGCCGGGCACGCTGGTTGCTGAACGAGCCGACCCGCCTCGGCGTGCACCGTTTGGCGGCCTTGTGGATGAGGAACTTTCCACTGCAGAGTCGAGATGAGTCGTGTTGGCCTTGTCGGTGGAATTACATTTCCATTTCCCGGTCCATCCTTTACCGGGAGAGCCATACGTGGGTCGCCGGGGGGGGAGGGTAGCGCTCACTGCACAGACGTCTGTCCGTCTGTCTATCCACGCGGAGGGCAGGCCTCTTACCCCGAGCCTGCCACGATTCATTCCGGGTTGTTGTTGTTGTTAAAACAACATATATACACACACACATAGGCAGATTTGGCATTAACAGACTGTTGGGGCAAGTGCTGTCCGCGTAGTTCCAGCAGCAGCAGCTATGAAGGTCGACTCGGTTACAGGAGGGTGATGGGTGGAACAGGGGTGGAACAGGGTTGTTGTTTTTGTTGTTGTTGTTAAAACAACATATATACACACATACATACACAGGCAGATTTGGCATTAACAGACTGTTGGGGCAAGTGCTGTCCGCGTAGTTCCAGCAGCAGCAGCTATGAAGGTCGACTCGGTTACAGGAAGGTGATGGGTGGAACAGGGGTGGAACAGGGTTGTTGTTGTTGTTGTTAAAACAACATATATATACACACATACACACACAGGCAGATTTGGCATTAACAGACTGGTGGGGCAAGTGCTGTCCGCATAGTTCCAGCAGCAGCAGCAGCAGCTATGAAGGTCGACTCGGTTACAAGGGGTACCTCTGCGGATGTGTATACTTTAACTTAGCTATTTCAATGAGCCATTTCAATGCTAAATTATATGCTAATTCCTTTGTCAAGGCGCTTTGTGTTTTTCTTCTCACACAGCTTAAAGGTCGTGATATAAGCGTGGCTTCTCTCACTCCAGCGCTGTCCTCCAGACAGTCTCGTCCCTTCACCTGATGAAGGCCGCTTGTGTTGTGGCCGAAACGTCGTGATTTTTTGTTATTTTATTTTCACCTACGTGACTTTACCCAATAGAACCAAAGAGTATGGAACAGGGTTGTTGTTGTTGTTGTTAAAACAACATATATACACACATACACACACAGGCAGATTTGGCATTAACAGACTGTTGGGGCAAGTGCTGTCCGCGTAGTTCCAGCAGCAGCAGCAGCTATGAAGGTCGACACCGTTACAGGAGAGTGATGGGTGGAACAGGGGTGGAACAGGGTTGTTGTTGTTCACTGTAACACTAAGTAGACTTTCGCCACCAATATCATCCATAATGCAGGGGGAGTTGATCGCGTAAATATATCAATGTGTCGTTAAACCCGCCACCACCCGACGCCTCCAATTAGTAAAGGGGTTTGTCACGTAAACCAAACGTGGTAATTCGTTACTAGTACAGCACCGCGGTGTGTTGGAGAGTTCTTGAACACACTGTGGCTGAGCACGTTGTTGTTCACGTGACAAACCTTACTGGCTGAGTCGGGTGGTGGAGGGTTACGACACATTCATACTCACGTGATCTAACCCACAAACACCTCTATTATGGGTTGTTGTTGTTGTCGTTAAATATACAACAACAACCGCCATCCGCCACTA